AAAGAACTCCGAACTGCTTGCCGTCTTTTCCCCTCTCCTCAATTTGAATCTTTACATTTCTCTTGCTGAGGAAACTTTTTTAAAAAATATTCTCTCTCCTGAATTCCGTCGCAATGGCTCCCTTCTACAAGGCCGCAGCAGCATTTTGCCTAGTCGGGCTGTGTTGGTTTCAATCCGAGGCTGCCGAAGAAAAAAAATATATTTTTGAGGTAGCCCCAGCGGAAGAAGGTAAGCCTATTGCCGCTTATAATTCTCACATTATTTGTGTTTTCTCCCGTTTTGTTTGCTTCCAAGCCGTCAACTACTCAGCTGAGGCAGACGGAGGTCGCTGCATTGCCGATTGATTTTCCTGTCCGCATTTGTTCTCTGCAGACGCCTACTTAACTGCAAAGTTGGCCCGTAATGGAAAAATTACAGCTAAGACGAATACAGTAGAAAAGGATCCCCAGCTTGTCTCCAGCTTGCAGGGGAAAGTAGGAACCTCAACTGAAGACACCAATGCGGCGTGCACGACATTGATGACAGACGACCTTGTAAGCTCATAAAGTATAAAAGCAGGTGTGCATGGCGTTGCTCATACTACTGCTGTCTCAGTATGAACAGCAGGTCTCAACTGTAAGCACCGTTATTATACCCGACCGAAATTATGCATTTATTTCTATGATTGTCTGACACAGACTGAGCATAAGAATGCCACTTTGTCGTTTCGTTCCTGTTTTGGGTGTCCAGAAGAAGCTGTTCCATCACGCTTTCGAATATACAGAAGAACATGACTACCGTCAACTGGTACAGGATGCCGTCACAGCCGGATTGGAAGAGTTCGGGTAAGCAGATGCGATATCCATCTTAGCTAAAGGGAGCTTCCACTTGCTTTTGTAGCAAAACAAAGCGACAACGACGATAGATACTAAATCTACCCTGCTACCATCGCTGCTTTCCCCTCGTCCATATTCAAATCATCACATTTTTGTTGTGCTGCACTCAATGTGTGTTCTTCCACAGCAAAACGTACCCGGCGGATTCAGATGCGTGGAAACAGGTATGGAAGAAGGAAAAGGCTCGCAGCATGATGCACCTTCTCGGTGCTAGCAGCACTAAAATCGGATGTGTCATTGCGAAGTGTGTGGAGAAAAGTGTTGGTAGATACGCCAAGGCACAACCAAGAACAACAACGCCGGCTGTGCTTTTCTGTGAATTGACTCCTGGAGCAACAGAGAACGACGCCGCCTTTAGGTAAGCTTGGCGTTTTGGTTCTTACGTAAATTTAGACGTGAAAATCTACACTAACTGGAGATGTATTCTTTGTTTCTGTCTGTTTCGCCTTCCTTGCAGCGAAGACTACTTCAAGGAGCTTAGTACACGAACAACTGAATTAAAAAGTATGACAGATGAAGATCTGAAGGATCCTATTGTAACAAGCTCTGCAGATGCTACCGTTCCAAGCATTCTAACTGCCGGTTTGGTCGCCATCCTGGCAGCTATCTCTGCCTAGACAGGCAGATTTCCGCCGC